CTCCCTCACCACCCTTTCTCCGGTCCTCCCACCCACCCGCCCTCTCGCCTCCTTTCCTTTTCTCTCCTGGCACTGGGCTGATCTGCGGCCTGAGGGTTCAAAGAGGGATTGAGGGAGGGAGGATTGGAGGAAACTGCGAGGAGGGAGGAAACATGAAAGGAAGGAGCTGGAGAGTGCAAGAGGAAGAGCAGGGGTGGGGCGGACAAGAGAGAGAAAACGGCAGAGAGAGAGAAGTGAAGCAATGATCTGGCTGCTCCCGCTATCGTCGAGGGAAGGAAGGGAGGAGTGCAAAGACACAGAAAGAATGGGAGGGAAAGAAAGAGGGAGTCCTTATTAACATGGCCTCAGGGCGCTCTGTCATCCTTCTCATTCTTTCTCCCACTCTATCACTTTCTACACCAATTGCCCACACACAAAACACTAATCTTCCAAACAAACAGCGCAGAAAAGATTCAAAACAAGAGGATAAAACTGCAGAATCACATCAAGGTACAACATCCCTTTTTCTCTCACAGACACACGCACAATGCAAGTCTGATTCCACTCGGTCTTCTCGGGATAAGACGCATGCATCGCTGACAGGAAAATCCATAATTTCCCTGCGTGCAGTGGCAGTGAGAGTTTGATAATGTAGCATGTGTTACAGCACTGATAAACAGCTGGCAATAAATCACAAGGATGTTGAGGTTCACGGCTGCAGATGGACCGTAGACACAATCATGGCAGCGCTGCGCTTGTATGACCAAACACAAAGCACAATGGGCATTTCACTTCCTTCCATTATTGAACAAGAATATGGCTTCAGGCGGGTTTTAAGAACAGTCTCGCCCGTTCTGTCTGGACGTAACGGACCACCCAGCGCGGCACGCCATGACAGCACAGAACAGGAAAGTGTATGTGTGTGTTTGACGTGGATGTCTGCAATATTGTACTAAGGCACACAAAAGATGAGGCTCACAGAGGAGGCCGAGCCTGGGCTCTGTTCGGTGGAGCTGTGATCCACAGCCAAATACACTGGGCCAAGCCTTCGAATGCAAACTCCTTATCCCACGACAACCCAGTCGGAGCCTGAGGGAGCCGCAGATGGACACATCGTGTTACTCTTTCCACTGCTCTCCCTCTCCATTGTTCTGGCTAGTACTGCAATGGCAAATCCCTTTACAAACAACAGCACAGTGCAGGCAGATTCCATTTCCTCTAGCTTCAGCTGATTCGCAGCTGTGGTGGCCGCCATCTTTACATGCATACCGTCTGGTTCATCGAGCCCAGCAGCCCACTATGAAACCATATTCTCCACTGACTATTGTTGTCCCCTTCTCAATTCCCCAACTCTGTCATAATGGTAAAGCAGGGACAAACGAGCAGACTGTAATCCTAATAGAGAAGTGGGACTGCAAATGCTGTTGGGGAGAAAGGTGACTCTCAGCTGAGCAGGGACTTTGATACTCCGGTTGTTTCCCAGAGTAAATATTGACCTCTGTTTAGCAAACTGTGCTTCAGCCTCACCCAACCTGCTAACGCACGTTTCACCAGAACAACCTGTGTCTCCCTCCTTCAGGTGAACAGACGTCCTGCTCAAACTGTTTAAAGTAAGCTACCAACAAGCATACAGCTCTCTATAGGCGCTTAAACGCACCGAGCTGGGATATGATCACTCACAGCACACTTGGAGGTGGTCAGGGCCAAACGGATCCACCTGGTGAACTTAAAAGTTTCATTCAGTATGCATTAAGCCACTGCAGACGTCTTCTCTGCTGTGTGGCTGAACGCACATTTGAATTCTGTTCTGCTCAGCAGTGGTTGCAGTTTCCCCACAGATAAAATCAAATGTGCGCAGGGAGGTGAAATATAATCACAAGTGGTCACTCGAGACACATTTGAGGCAGGCATGAACCGCCACCGGTCTCACCTGAATCACAATATACAGTATATTAGGTCTGAGACGTATATATTATGTCTAGGATTAAGGCGAATGGATGCCAAAGGGAAAGGGAGGGACAAATGGAGACGCGGGGGCACGAAGCATCCCAAATGTGTGTTGGAGAGGCCATGCAGCCGTTAGCCTTGTCCGGCTCCAGGAAAACCTGGCTCTCAAGTGCCAAGGCAGGATCTGGCAGTCAGCTGGAAAATGAGGACACTGCAGAGCTGGAGCCCTAGAAATAAAACACCCATATAAAAAAAAAACCCACCACTGTCTCCCTGCATCAGCGCAGCTCGGGGGCATGTGTGCATGTGTGTGGGCACATGTGTGTAGTCCTCTATGTAGGTTACATGTCTCAGTGCATGATGCATGTGTGTCAGCAGGGATCTAAGGCTCCACTCAAGAGCAAAAAAAAAATGCTCAGTCAGCCTCACAGATTCCCTTTTGGTGAGAACCAAACACAAGTTGGCCTGGACAAAAAACCCTGGAGCTATCTGCTAGGCCCACACAACTTACAACATACAGACACCGTGTATGCACACACATCACACACACAGGGAGGGTTATTTAGAGTCTGACCAGGAGCGTGCTCTTACATACTAACTACAGACAATTAAGTCGCTGGCTAAGGGCATAAAAATGCTGTGGGCCCATTGTGTCAACCACTTTCTATGTCAGTATTAGTGTGTAAATCTAAAATGGGACAGATGTCTCTCTTTGTTTTGCCCACTTACCACAGCAACGCCTCTACCAAACCATCGATTCGTCATTTGATTTTAATAGAAACACTGATAGAAAACATTGGTTGGGTACCTGCCAAGTGACACGCAGAGCGCACACATCTACCAGACGTTGGCTGGTGTTATTTTCTACGCTGATTAAATGATAATATCATTTTATTTTTTTTTAGCCTCCTCAATCTATAGACAGTGTTTAATGGATTTCACAGCTCAGTCTTCTGGTAATCACCAAATGAAGCATCAGAGGAATTTAGCGCCTTCTAACACTGAAGGACATCCCTTGGGACCGTGATTAAATGTTTCAGAACTCTTGGTCAAATCAGCAGCAATTAACTTCAATCTAAACCACTTTGTTTTTCTGCTTTCATTGGCTGATTAGGCCCACAGACTGAAAGATCCTCTGATGGCTCTTTGACTCAGATTTTTATTTTAAACCAATAGTGGCTAAATAAATCCAAAAAACAAACACACACACACACACACACACACACACACACAAATAGTGGGCCATTACAGCAGCTTAGTCTGTGTGAGTGTGAAAGATTATTCGGGCGTAAGAGAGTATGCCTAAAGACACAGTGCCCACATCTGGCTGGTGCTAATAGAGGAAAGTCTAACTCATTAAAGCACGCCGGTTAATTATAAGCCTACCTGATGCCATTCATTTTTTTTAACACAAGCCGAGGGCTGCGTTGCTGGCCAGCAAGGCAGACAGTGACTTGAACAGGCGTAGTATGCTGGAGCAGAGCGTATGCACTTAACACACTTTTCCAAACCACTCCAGACTGTGATGTGCACTTAGTAACATACTGCCGCCCCAGCAATGAGACAGCAAAACAATCCCCGCCGAAAAGCTGAGAGATGAGCACAGTAAAGGTGAAATGTCCAAACACTTCAGCCTCGTCACAACTCATCTGTGTAAATCCACTTTACAAAAACGTCCAATTGTGTTACTGTGTCATGTTGTACGGCTTATATTAGATAAAGCGTTGCCTTCCTTTCTATGAATTCTGCTTAGAGGCAGTGCAACTAATAAAGCTGAAACAAGATTGGGAAAGCAACTAGTTGCATTAGTTCCCCTTTCTGACAAAATGTAACGAGAAGTACCTGTGCACTCTCTCCGTGGAGCCAACACCTCAGGTGATTCTGACTGTAATGTGTGTTTGTGACCGTGAGTCATCAAAAGGGAGGTGACTGGTGGTGGCTCAACAGATTCCTCGCCTCTTTTTTTTTTTTTGGCATTTGGGCAACGTGAATCAGCTCTCTCAGAATAAACGGGCTAATTATAGGCAAGGCGGTAGACAAATTCCTCTACAACTGGGGTTAGAGGAAGAGTGTTAACACTGGACCTTCAGAGACCTTCATTTGCATAATAGTGAAATATACAATACATGTAGCGTGCAGTTCTTTGAGTTAACAAAAGCTTTAGTGATTTCTAATTAGACCAATTTTTAGATTTGATTTTACCTGACTAAGCATGAGGTTAATGATGTAAGCTCCTTTATGCAGTAAAGAATGTACAGAGCTGCACAACTCCAATACTGTACTCGTCTGACCTTTAACCCCCTTTTTTGCAGCAATTTCCTGGGATTGAGAAGCAGCAGTACAATCGAGGGTCACATCTTACCCAGAAACCCCCACGCCGAAGCCAAGTAACCCAGCAAACCAATTTGTTAGCTGAAATAATAAAAACGGATGCAACTGTGACAGTAACTGAGACAGAGACTGCAGTATGTGTCGGATACATCAGTGTGTGTGAGGCTGATGGCGTATGAAATCTGATTCATGTGAACTAAGAAGTGCAGCCACTAGTTTTGCTGCATCCTCAACTATAACAGTAAAAACATCTTTTAAAGTGGATAAACTCCTTCCTGCAACTGATGATTCCCAGCACACGTTTAACACCAGTGGTATTTCTTGTCTGTCGGTTCTGTGAAAGCCTTCAACGACTCACTGATATGAAGGAAATAAACCCCCAGCTGGCTTTTTCCCCCCATCCATATTCCTTTTTTACTTTCTTTTGTTTTTGGTTTTGTTTTGAGCGAGGCTGTGACGCCATGTGGGAGATCATTTGTTGTAGAAAAAGCTGTGTCTGAAACAAGCAAATAGGTCTTGCCTCACAAGAAATCTTGCCAATATTGTGTATAAACACACAGAATACAATGTTTTGACATTGCTGACACCTTCGAGAAAGCCAAAAACACATATTCGAGAGCCAGTAGCGAGCTTGCAGTCTATACGTACTAATTAAATGATGAGCTGTCCGAGCACACGAACGAGTTTCTCACATTATTTATAGACGCTGAAATTACTACGTACGGTTAAGTAACCCACGGTTTACTACGCGGTAAGCTTCATAATCTATGACACAACGGCACATGATAAATATTAATACATCTCACGACGAGCTGTAGGAGGACTGCGTCTCCACAGGTAGGAACGGGCTCTGTAATTCAGACACACAGTATGCAGACGGCACGTAGAGATAGTCAGCACAAAGACACTCCAGCAGAGAGGAGAGCTTTAACCACTCTGCACAGATCTCTCAATTTATCTTGAAAACGCACACTTCCTGAGTGCTGAAAACGGCTATTAATCTTCAAGTGACACACATACAAATCACTCCACTGCTCCAGACACTGCATATTAACCTAAATGTCACGTTTTACCGGTTTTGATTAGACACTGGTAAAAGTATTAGTTCCCTGTTACACGTTTTATTGGCTGCAGTTCAACGAGCTCGAGCTACAAAAAAACAAAAGCTACTTTGATAAATACGAGGCCGAGCCAAGCGTGCAGCTCTAAACTCCTTCCTATCAACAAACATCTGAAGTGCTGAAGGGAAGCCAAAACGAGGCAAAAAAACCCCAAAGCCTCAACCCCCCCCCCCC